TATATATAATTTGAAGTTTATGTTACATACCTGTGTCAAGATTGTCTAATGTATATTGTTTAGCTGATGAATTAGCAAACACAACAGTATTTTTTATTAATCTAAACTAACTTAAAATGTAAATTTCTTGTGTCAGTCCAACATGAAAAATCCAAAGGAGAATAAAAATCTTGCCTTTGTCCATCAGCAGCATTAAATTAGAATCAATTGCAGTCAAAAGTTGTGGACAAGATCTTTTTTTGTTGTTTGGTTTTTGACATTTTCATTCTCTGAAAACTTAAACTTGTCACATGTTGGTAACATGCTCCTGGGGTTAAAAAGAAAAAATAAATATGATTAGGCATAATTTATAAAAGAAGATAGAGGGGTCAATGACCATCTTTAAAAACTTGGTTGTCATTGTATTAGAGGTGATTATCTAACTGGTTTTGCTGTATTTGTCCAACAACCTATTTATATAAGAACAACATAACAAATATCCTGAATTGCTTCTCTTGGTTTTGGTGTGCCACCCCAGGATTTTCAGTGGCCCCTCACAGCCTGATCAAGAAAGCTCATCAGAGACTCTACTTCCTCAGGCAGCTGAGGTGAGCTGGTCTGGGAAGCTCAGTCCTCACCTCCTTCTACAGGTGTGCAGTGGAGAGCATCCTGTGCTCCAGCATCAACATGTGGCATGGAGGCTGCACAGCTGCAGAAAGAACAGCTTTGCAGAGAGTGGTGAAGGCTGCACAGAAGTCTGTTGGAGTCAGTCTCTCCATCATCAGACATCTACACCTCCAGATGCAGGAAGAGGGCCACCTGCATCATGAAGGATCCCACTCACCCAGCACACACACTTTTTGCCCTGCTCCCCTCAGGAAGGAGGTTAAGGAGCATTAAGTGTAGAACCACTAGACTGAGGAACAGCTTCTACCCTGAAACTGTTAGACTCATTAATCCCTAACCAGACAAATCACTGTATTGTCAGTTTAATTGGAGATTTGTCACTTTATCTGTGCTGCTGATTATTCATGCTGCTGATTATCCATGCTGCTGTTTTCTTGCCTTTAAGGTGCTGTTTTCATACCTATCTGCTCACAACAGACTCATGTTCAGGCTGCTGTTTAATACACCATTTTACAATATTATTGTTTAGTATATATCTTAGATCCTTGTATACTGTTGCATTTTTCATACAAAGTACTTTATATTTTTGCTTTTTTTGGGTGTAACTGGGACCTTGAGTACACAATTTTGTTCTATCTCGGGGGCCGACTCGTGGTTCGACTCCCAGCCATTCCCACATGTCGTGGTGTCTCTGAGCAAGACACCTAATCCCCTTAGCTTAATTTGAGCTGGATCCTGCTGGAACAGAATCCGGGAACTATTTTATTTTGATAGGGTGTGTTCCGGTAACTGTTTGCTTGGATCCATCAGCTCTCAGAATTAATAATGAAGTTATGAACAAATATGACTGCCTTGAACAAATATAACTTAAATTTGATATGTAAACTGAAAATAAATACACAAACACTCATTTTAAACACAACAGACGACAGACAGATGACCTGGAGGTTTCACATGTGGAGTCAGACAGTGAATTCAGCAGAGAAGAGTCGGCTCAGAACCATCAAGTAAGGGAGAGGGGGGTTTGTGAGTGTTTACAAATGTAGATGCACGTTAAAATACAACAAAATGCAGAAAATGGCATCTACATTCAAGATTTTCCAGGGGAGGACCCCCAAACCCCACCACTCGACCCGCCCACTATTTGCGTTCCGGCATTGATTGATTTACAAATTAAGCCCTGCTAATCCCCAATGGGTGCTCAATACCTGCCCACTGCTCCACCTGGGTGCATCCCATGTGTGATGGGTGAAATGCAGAGAACCAATTTTATCATTGTATTAGAAGAACATACAATGATGACAACATATAGCACTTACTTACTTACCTCATGTACCACATGTGACGCAAATGACATAAAGAACCTTGAACCTCTTTTAAGAGTGACAGGAATATTTAAGTCTCTGGTGTTGAGTGTTATATAGTATCAAACATGCATGAGTAATTTGCAACAAAGTCATATCCTTATTAATGTAAATATCAGCAGTTTGATGTGGCAACATTTTTGTATCTATCAGGCTTGGGGCTGATTAGTTTTGACACTTCACAACCTGTTTTTGCCATCTGTATCTATCTTTTTTCTACCCCAGTGTTGGATCACAGTTCATGAAACAGATGCAGGACCGTATCCACTGTCCTGATTTATGTCATATAATCAGGTTCTCATGTTGTTCTGTTTGAACCTCTGGGTAACCAATGCTTTACTCTTACACACTGTGTCTCCAGCTCATTCTTGTGTTTAATTCTCTAAGTAAAGTTTTATTGTGATTTATTCACAGACAGGAAAGGCTATGGAGTGATGGGAGGGACATACTGAGAAAAACAACAAGAACATCTGTATAATTTTATTGCTAAAATATGTTACATTCACTTGATGATCTTGGAGCAGTTGTTTGAGCTGTTTGAAGAAGAAAATAAAAAGGAACATTAGCTAGATTTAGTGTAAAGAAGGCAAACTGATTTATTCCTACTGCCAGACTTTAAAGTTGATCATATAAATAACAAAGGCAATTGGAGAAGCCAACGTTGTATGCTTTGATGCTAATATTAGCTATTTGAGCAGAAACGTGTATTATTTATCTTTGTACTTATGAAACACATACCTTTAGTAGCAAGCTTGGTTTTGTAAACTGTCCATAATTGTAAGTTAGCCAAAACACTTAGATACTGAATTTTCTTCATCTTCACCAGGAGAAGTTTTTCTTTCTGCATTGCCTGAGTCTGGCACAAAGAAAAAAACTGGTCAATATGTTTGATGCATTTTTTATTTTTACCATGACCGTACAATTTATGTACCCTTACATTATTACATAATTACATTGTATGCTTAATGGGTAAATTAAAGGTTTATGCTTAAAGCTAGTTGTGCTTTGTTCTATTTCGTATAGGATTCGCCCTTTAAGGCTATTGCTAGTGAGTTTACCCCCACACGCAGCACTGAAGAAAAAGGGTACATAATGGTACTATCATTATATTATGTTGTAATGAATCATATTTTTTCTGTAAATGTTTCCACTATCCATGGTAGAAAAAGAAGTATCCAAATGCAGAGCAGGAAGGATGAAAGGCTGGCAGGGAAACACAAATAACAGCAACAACAAAAAACCAGTGGCTGTTGCAGTGGTAGATAAAAAGTTATACGGGGGGAAAGCAAAGCATAGACTCTGATTAGATTAACACACAACAAATTGAAATCAACAGAACTATAAAAATAAAAGAATCTTGGCTGTGTACTGATGAGCTGAAGGCTAAATGCAGCGACGTTGTGCTAATTAACAAACTAATACAGGTGTGTGAAGAGAAGGTTAATGTATGGAGGCCAGGGAAATATAGCTAGCATAATGCTGTGTGCTAGCAAAACTAACGTAAATTGTTAAATTAACAAACAAATATTTTTGTGTGGGTATATATTTTGTGACAGTTTTGAGCTTTTGTGATAAGAAAAATCTACAATTTTCACATGACATTTCACTGGATTTACAGTACTTTCCTAATCTAGTTTTTTGTTAGGTTTACTATGAAGCCGCAAGGTGACGGTGATGGAAGAAAATGACAGGATTCAGTTGAATCAGCGGAAATGTGTCACTTCAACAAATTAATAAAGTTGTAAATGCTTTGTTTATGTTGGAAATCATTTATTTTCAAATCGCATTATTTTAGGAAGACGTATAACCGTGCTTCAAAAACAGATGCACAAGTCAGAACTGAGGGGAGTTACATTTAAACACTATTTTTGTGTTAGTAAAAACATATAGATATAGGTGTATATATATATATATAT